GCAAACGAACTCACTCACATTCGCAACTCCAGATGCTATATGTCTCAGTCCATAAAACCAGTACGAATCTACTTAACCCGCCACACAGTAGCCTCAATCGATGCTTCCAAACACTCCAACCACGGCTTGCGACCCGAACCATAGATGTGACAAATAAAACACACAAAAATGAGATTAGGGTTCACGATTTTCACCATTAAACAATTACTAAGCATTACAATTTACTTACCAGATGAAGCTACTCTTTCAGCGCCCAACTACGGCACCGCACCGAACAATGAGGCCCAACGATAGTGTTTGATGAAGGATTGATGAAGGACACAGTTCGAAAGAGAGAGACGACGAAGAACCAAAGCCACACCGAAGAGGGATGGAGACAACAACAACCAGACCGAAAGGGCTCGAAAGAAGGAATGCGACAGGGTTCGAGAGAGAAAAGAAAGCACCAGGGTTCGAGAGAAAAGAAAGCACCAGGTTCGAAAGAGAGGAAAGCTCGAGCTTCACAAATGAGAGTGAATATAGGGTTCCAGCTTCCACGTAATCAGAAATACATTTTTTTTAAATTATTTCCCAAATCCGTATATAATATCTGCAGATAACACTTGGTTCTAACTACATACGGATAATACAGGTTATATACAGATCCTATCCTTGGGTAATTTTCCCGCCACCCCGCGCCAACATTATATACGGATATTATATACGGATTATCCGTATATAAAATTCCGTATATAATATCCGTATATAACGCCTTTCTTTAACATCCGTACATAATTTCCGTATATAATATCTGCTTTACATACGACTCTAGATCCGTATATAATGTTCCGTATCTAATTCCATTATTTCTTGTAGTGTAAGTTAATATTTTCACCATCTGTACTCAATCCCAATCCTAAATAAAAATGATTTTCATTTATATTCAAAACTTTATTTCCAACTAAAAAACCACTACTTGAATAGTCCCACTTAACCAATAACTCACTCAATATATTCCTACCTAGTTTAACATTTACACTCAAATCTAAAAATCACGCAAATGGAGTCTTCGCAATCACTGACCGATGCTCCTCTGTCAGCCTTTCGTTCAAAGTACATATATATTATGTCGAAAAAGAGTGACGAACCGTAAACTGCATCAACCAAAACAAAATAAGAAAAATAATTAAACCCAATAACCAAAACAACATCATACCAACCCCATACCCAAACGGAAAAACCATGGAAGGAAATGGAACGACAAAGCATTTACCTTCGTCGTCGGACCATGCTCATCGGACCTTGACATTTCGCAACACAACCTCTACAAAAACACCAACTTCACGAAAATGGAGGGAGACACAGACAATGCAAAATGAGGAACCACATACACGAAACGTGAATTTGCAATAAAACAGGCTAGGGGTATTTTTGGAACCTCACTTAAAACAAACCCTACTTAGTTTGAACTCAACGTTTTGAAAAAAAAAATCAAATTGATCCAATGAAAAACTGACATGTGTCATTGTCAAAATAGTGTTAAATAAACGTTGTCAAAATATCGGCGTCCATTTAGAAACTAGTTACCGAGTATACTTCTATTGAAATTACATTCAATCAGGTTCAGAATTCGGTAACCGAATTTGAAACTACCATATTCGATTTACTTAGACAATTATTTAGCAAATATGCTAGAGAAATTGAGTAAAGTTAAAAAATATTTTGAAAAAAGAAAAGTCTGATAAAAACACATACAGAAAATGTATATTACAAGTATCTTTGAACATAGAAGTACCTGAAATTGATTTTTATATTCCAATTCTACTATCTAAACCCTTGATCCCAACTAATTTCCATATAAGCCTGTATTAATCTTTTCTTCTATAATTTTATTAAATATTGTATCTCATGTCAGAACTAAAATATTGAAAATGAAAGTTTCGATATGTAAAATGTTTTACGGTATAACATTCAGTCAATATTATAAAAATATAATTTCATTGGCATTTAACAAAACATATGATAAGTTTTCCATTTTTCAGATACAGGATGAACTTGAGAAGAGGGTTACCATTATTGGTGAAATTGATCTAAGTGAAAGATACTCAATTAATGAAGAGCTCAAGCACGTGAAAAAAAAAAATAATAATGGGTATTAAACAACAGAGTGTACCATCACCAACATGTTTAAACAACTATGTAGTCTTAGCCTATTCTTGCAGGAGTCAAGTCAGTCGAAGAAGAAAGTGACAAAAAATAAGCCTAAAATAGGTTCTAGCGCTTAACCAAAGAAGGTTATTATTGGATATGTTATATTTTGGTTAGTTGGATCTTCGATTTATATTTAACCTTTAAATCCACCAATTTAGCAAATAATTCAGAGTAGTGGTTGAGGTGAGAATACCATCTGCGTTAGGTTTGTTTCACTTTTCTATCTTTTGTGGCGGCTCATATTTCGCTTCAGGTACTAACTGTTGTGCTCATCTCACCAACCCATCCTCAAACCAAACACTATAAATTCAAATATCCTCCTTCTTCTTCTTCTTTAGCAAAACCCTACTCATTGTTTGATAACTGTTTTTGGTAAAAACTTGTTTTCTTCTTCAAGTTAGTTTCTTAATTCATTTTTTTTTTTTGGAAAACTTTTCTGTCAAAAACTGTATATGGCTAGAAGGATTATGGGTTTTTCTCCTAATAGAGGGCAGGGTCCACAGTACCCACCTATGGTTAGACAAAGGTCTTTGTACAACCTCAGTTTTGAGGATGTTCAGAGACCGTTGTTGGGAAACACAGGGAGTGAAAGTGCATATCTTGTGCAAGAACCTTCATGTGATCATCATTCTTTTACCAAAACCAGTGGCATTGGTGTGGCTTGGAGGGGAATTGTTGACCATGAACACATGAACAGGTCGGTAGAAACCCTCTTGAATGAACCTACTTTAGGGGAATCAACTTTAGATCATTTCCTAGCTAATGCAGGTGTGATCAATGTAGCTGATCAGAATACCAACGTTCACACTCTGCCACCAATGGTGATTGATTCAATACATCAACAACATTGGTTGCAAATTCCTTCTGTTAGCACCCACCAACCTCATCATCATCATCATCATCAGTCACAGATAATTGGAAACTCTCAAGATTTCAGTGTTTCTAATAACTCATTCTACGATAGCCAACTTAGTTATTCAGAAAACTCAGCGGGGATTCCAATGTCTCCTTCCTATTCATATTCTTCTAAGACCTCTCTTTTTAGGAAGAGAAAGCACTCAAATGATGAGATGCTGGAAAAGGCTGTAGAGAGAAGACAAAAGAGAATGGCTAAGAACAGGGAATCTGCAGCAAGATCTAGGGCAAAGAAGCAGGTTAGTTCAATGTCTCATCAACTTTCATGCAGTCAAAGAAATTTTTATATCACTGTAGTTTGTTCTTTATCATATTTTTTCTTCCAGGAACACATACATAGATTAGAGAACGAGAAGTGTCGCCTTCAGAAAGTGAATTGCTGGCTCAAAAAGCTGAAGGTACACATATTCAGCAATCCATTTTCAACTGAAAATAGTTTTGTTTTGTATGTATGTGTTGTGCTAATAATTACTTTTTATGATATTTTCTTCATGATTGCATCGCACTGTTGTTCTCCTTTTGTAAGTAAATAAATTTTTATTTAGTGAAGACAAAGCACTACACACAGGTAAGTGCACGTTTATTTGTAAGCCAACGAGCACAAGTATGATTCTTGTATGTGCAAGTTTTGTTATGTACAATGAAAAAGACATTTTCTATTCCATTTTATTAATCCAAAGTTAGATGTATAAAAGAGAAGAAGACCATTATCACAAAAAATTGAAATATATAAAACAGTGCAAAGATTTTGTTTTGGACTATTTTAGCAAAACAGCATGTCAAATAAAACTTATGCAACAAGGTTCTAAAAATGTAGGAGACTAGCCGCATAATTGCGTACAAGGAACATCTTTGTTTGTTTGGAGGGTTTATTCTAACTTCAAACTATGCACGTACAAGGCATGTTTGGAAAGTTTGTTTTATGAGAATATCTAGTTTTTATTTTTATCATTAAAAAAATACTTGGTTATTCAAACCCTTTTACAAAAACATTCTGAAGTTTAGTTTGAAACAAAGAAAAACAAGTTAAAAGGATATAAAGATAAAAGGTGTAACAGTGACAACCGTACTCCTCTATCAATTAAACAAAACCCTATCGAACTACTATATATTAAAATAAATGTATATAAAAAATTAAAAGAATTAAAGAGACTATATGAGAGAATATATAAATTAATTTTAACTTGTAAAGAAATTTATTTCACTTGAAAAGCTTATTCTTCCAGCCACAAAAGAAAAAAAAAAAGAAAATTCTAATTAACTTCACTTATTATTTTACTCTCCTAAACCTTGACCTCAATTCGATCCCTTCCTTTAATTACTACTTTTTTTATTTAATTGGTAAGTATTCATTTGCTGCAATCTCTCATCCTTAACCTAAAAACTTCTCCCTCAATTGGTTAGTGTTCTCATTTTATTTGATTAGGGCATTCGGTGCAAATGTGTTATTCTTTCTCTTTCATTTCACTTTCAGTCATTGGCTTTCTTTGCATTTATTGACTAGTTATTTTAGTTAAAAGTTTTGCTTAACTTTGCAGGGTCTAGCAAAAAATCTTTTAGTTGTTTTCTATATACTGATTTAGGTACGTAGCATTTTTAAAAAACATTACAATCTAGTTTATTATTATTATTATTTTTTGTCTTAACATTTTATTAAGCTTTTCTCTTCTACTTTTTCTCCGTAAGACAATATTGATTTATTTTCTTTCTCTTCAACAACTCATAAATATGAATTATTGTGTTTTATATTATTTTTACAAAATTTAGGTTTTCTTATTTTTAACATTTAACAAGAAAATATTTTTTCTATTATTATTATTTGGATAATTATATATATATATATATATATATATATATATATATGTATGTATATATATATATATATGTATGTATATTGATGTCTTTGGACTAAAAATCACACACGCACACAAACTGTGGGGTTTTAATTTTTTTTTCCTTTGTTTGGTAAGTAAGATCTTGTAGTAGAACCTAGTTTATCAACTTTTTAAGCAATAAAGAGTTTTTTTTCTGGACTTTTTTTCATTCAATTCTTTATTCAAATCAAAATTAGGTGTATATCTTTTTTTATCGTATATTTCTTTATACAGTATATTTACTTTATTAACATTATATTCTAACACAAAAGAGACGTGCGCATTAACACTTCGGAAGTAGTATTTTGATATATAAAAAAGTACAACTAGTTCACAACTCAATAAATTAATATTTTAATTATAATTTTTTTAATTTAAAATTATAATATATATTATTATATTTTTAGAATGGATTATCAAATATTTTATCTTAATGGGTAAAAGTATCATTTCTGTGATGTCTTTACCACACAATATGCATCACGCCAATTTTGAATACACACTATTTTACGAGAGGTATTAAATGATTAGATAGTTTCTGCTGTAAAATTATAAACTGGTAAGTTAATTCAACATATCATCATTAAATTTTTAGATAATTATTATAAAAATTATATACGATGATTCTGATTTCATAATAGTATGAAACTTCTTACAATGTCTGCGTATAGTGCAAGAATTTAATTCAAATATATTGATTGTTGAAAGTTTTTACAATCGTTATAGACCTTAGTGCGTGCAGAATATTCCGTGTAATTTAAAAACTATATGCAAGATAAATTGCAATAACTGATGGTGTGAATTTGTTAACCAATAATTCATAAAATCAAACTCGTGATAATACTTTTTTTAAAATAACATGGTTCATTAAGGAGATTAGTTGCGATGGCGTCAAGAATATTCTTATCTTCAGAATATTTTTTATTTTATCGTATCTTTAATCATACATTTATTTTTCTTTGTTCAATTTCATCTATTAATTTCTTTCTAAAATACGCATTTGATCATTTTTATTTTTTTTTAAACTTTATTTACTATAATATAATAAAATAATTTAATGTGATTCTCATAAATCTTTTTTATCACCATCCAACATATATTAAAGTTCAAAAGATAAATTTTTAGTTATTATTAATTTAATATTTGTTCTTTATGTGATCAAATAGTCTATTATAATTTTTATTAGTCTATAAAAAATAGATTTCATAAGAATTTAAAGAATGAAAGTAAAGAGATTTAAAATATTTTTTAATTTTAATATATATTTTTTCCTTTTATAATTTTTTAAAAGTATATTTAAATTTTTTAATTTTGTTTCATTAATGTTTACAAATTTAATCAATATTTTAGTTTTTATAAAATTTTATTTGATACTTTAGTTTAAAATATATATAATTATAATTTATTTTAAATATTTGATATTGAAAAAACCATAATATATTTTTTCCATACTTTGGGTTTGGATGAGTATGGAGATGATTTCTTCTTTGGGAATGGGTATAAGATAAAATCCACTGCCTCACCATGTTGCCATAGTGTCCATGTGAATATTATAGCGCGTATTTGTGTTAATTAACGTTATGATATTTGTTCAACATAAAAACTAAGTTTAATAACATCTTTATATTTATAATAATACTTTTAATATTTTTTTCTTTATTTATTTTTTTATTCGATGTGTTCTCTATAATTTTAAAAAGGGTTATATAATCTATCTCATATGAAAAGTATAAAATAAAAAATCAAACGGATTTCCAACATGCACGTAGTTATTTCCGAGAAAGATAGTTAATATGAATACAATGATTTAAAAAATAAATAAAAACTCTTTAGCATGAAAATGAGTCTTTTATAGCATTGCCTTGATGATTGATTATTACTAAAACAATTTAGGCAATGTAAGTTTTTCGCTTTGAAAAATATAGTTTACTAGTTATAAAAGAAGTGTCTGTTTTAGATAAAATTGATAATAATATAAGGAGAAACATAAATGTTGGTAATATTTATAGTTTTCTTTTTATAAATAGAAGAAAAATAAGTCACTCGATGGTTGTTTCTTGAGAATATTCTTATTAGCAATTGGAATTTTTTATAAGAGTAGCTCAAATATTGCAATTTCTCTTAAAGTTGTTTAATTTTAGGAGTAAAAAGGAAAGGAGAATAAACAAATGACTTAACAACCAGATCATATTTGCTAAATGAAGCTCCAATAAAAAGGTTAGTCATTATAGCATGTTGGACTTAAACACTATAATGAAATCAAATTTTAAAAATGAAAAACTAAAAGCGATGAACTATTGACTTTTCTAAACTCGTTAAATATTACTATATACTACAAATTAAGATCTAGGACTCGTTTGTCTAAGATTTTTCTACTCGATGATAATTTTCTAATTGTAAACTACTCGGTGATAACCATTTTCCTGATTATGAACAGAGCAAATTAACTTCCATTTTATTGCTAATTAATCTCTGAAATCAATTGCTAAATTACTTAGATTGAAAATATTTTTTTAAAGAACAAAAATAGTCTTTAATATTTTTCATATCAATAATTGCAGGAATTGGGTGAAAAGTTATTTTCATCTACAAGTCTGACTCCAAGATACCGACTACGTCGTACCAGCTCAACCACATTTTAGCTTCATTCGTTACAATGGCTTTCAGAAATACGTGATTTTTTAAACAGAGAATTGTATAGTGTTTGCAAAACAATAATGAGCCTTTTGTATTTTTAGAGTATTCAACTGTTCATAGAAGGAAAATGGTTTGCATATGGAGGACTCTATTGAGAAATTTAGAGTTCTAAAGAATCTTGTAAGGTCCGTGCTACTAGAGCATTTTTTTTTATGGCTAGAATAAATTATTTTTTCCTCTGTAATTATGTCGATATTTTAGTTTTACTTTTTTATACAATTTTTTTTATATGACAATAAAGTTTCGAAAGTTTTAGGTCAAACTGTTTCTTTTTCTTTTATAATTGTTTTCCTTTTAAGCCTTTACTGAGAAATTTATAATTTGCAACCAGGAAGTCATCTTCCACTTTATTGCAAAGACTTGTTTTCATTGATGAAAGAAGCACATTTTGTTAATTGAACTTGGAAGACTCAACACAAGATGAATTACTTATTGTTGAGTTTTTCTGATGATAATACTGTATATAACTAAGTATCGATATATCTTGAATTGATAATTGTTTAAAACAACAAAATCTGAAGTTGAATTTTTGAGTACATGTTGTTGATTAGTGGAATTCTTTTGATATAATTAAACTAACTTCAAATTATTTAAAAGCATAATTGAAATTTAAAGTTAAGTTAAGAAGGAATAATTTCAAAATTTGATCACAATCTATTCATATTTATGCATTTACGAGATATTCAAATTAATATATATGTCATTATTATAAATATTAAAATTTAATATAATTATGGTATACTTAGTGATAATAGTTGAATATTGGATTAAGAATAGAAAATTTGAAAGTTGACATGTAAGTATTTATTTATAATTAAAATATAGTTTAAGTTATTGAAGATCAAAAACCTATAGATACTTATCAATATTAAAAGAAGCAATAACTAAATACTGATCAATTATTTCTTTATTTTGTATTTAAATTTCTCACTAACTTAATTGACAAAATCTTTTGGAAGCCGATTTCTCTTTCATATTTGAAAAGAGTTGCAATTCATTAATAAGGAATTCATAAAGTTCTACATGTGCGTGTACCCCTTTCACATCTTTTTGGGAAAATAACACTCTTTCTCTGTAAAGAATACTATTATTCAACTCTTACGGCTTGTTCTTTTGAGTAGATTTGAGGGAGTGGATTTGAGGGGATTTGAGAGGATTTGAAGATAATTTTTTTTGTTGTTTTTTTGAGCGAATTTGGAGGTAAATGAGAGTGAATTTGAAAATAAAATTTATAAAAATAAAAAAAAAATAAAATTAAAAAAAAAAAATAAAAAAAATTATTTTCAAATTCACTCTCATTTACCTCCAAATTCGCTCAAAAAAACAACAAAAAAAATTATCTTCAAATCCTCTCAAATCCCCTCAAATCCACTCTCTCAAATCCACTGAAAAGAACAAGCCCTTAGTAATTGAAATTCAAAGGTAATTATGAATATGTTTGTACCGCATACCGTACGGTCATAAAGAGACAAGATCAAGTGGACAGGTAGTCTCCAATTGTAAATGCCCTTAAGCATTATCAATTACCGGAAAGTATTACTTACTAGGCAATGTGGTTAGAATTATGTAAATCTTATCAAAACACATGAATATAGGATTGCATTTATTATTGTGAATTTGAGATTTTATTATAATCCCTGATTAGATTGATTATTGATTTCAGTGTCAAAGTGTCTTTGACAAGTTTGGAGTTTGGACATTGAAACTAAGAAAGAAATTTGACTAAGAACATTCCGGACAAACAAAGTGGATTCGGAGAAAAATGTGAAGGAGTGTTCGATAGAGGTTCTTGTCCCCACACTCGAAACAATTTGACACCCACCATAGGGTTGCGAGATCTAAAGGTAGACCTAATGGTGACGAGAAACATGAGCTCATAGGACCTGACTTAAATGATCAGAGCACTACAGTAGATGTTGGAGAGGACCGTCCTCGTAGAGCATACGACTCAGCATTCTGGTGGTTAACACACTAGTAAAAGAACACTTTTTTAACTCGTCATATATGCCGCGGTTTCGTAAAAACCGAAGCATTTAAAGAAGCGGTGGCAGTTTTGAAATTAAGATGAAGTTATATGCTTTGGATGTACAAAGAACCTAAGCATAAAAAGCTTACGACATCGGTTGCAAAGATAACCGAAGCGTAACACTTGTAGTATGTCTGACATGCTTTTTGAAACACAGATACTGCTTCGGTTGATGCAGGACCGAGGCATAAGGATCTGATACTACTTCGGTTGATGCAGGACTGAGGCATAAGGACCTGCACCTTTTCGAGTGAACTAGGCTTTCCATCTGACAGAAAGAGCTACGGCCTCGGTTAATAGCAGAACCGAGGCATAACGAGCTGCACCTTTTCTAGTGAGCCAGGCTTTCCATTCAAACCCTTCCATTATTATTCTTACTACTACTCTACTGCTACTACCAAACCAAAACTCCTTTTCTTCTTCCTCCCTTCATTCTTTAAACAACCCTTCACTAGCCCTGTTCTTATGTTTCCCCCTATGTGCCTCCGCATCACCACACTAGTACAATAAGAGGAAATGGCACCGGTTACTTTTCCTTATAGGTCCCGGTTCTACAACCGAGGCGTATACGAACGAGATAAAAAATAGTAGGTTTTATGCCTCGGTTGCTGGTCGAGTCAAAAAGAATAGGATTATGCCTCGGTTTTCAGGTAACCGAGGCAGTAACGTATTATTTTTTTTTTCAGCCATCCTCAACCGTCCTCAGCCATCCTCAGCCGTCCTCAACCGTCCAGCCATTTGGGGGTTCACAGCAAAAACAACAACATATCAGAAATGCACAAGCCAGAAGCTTCATAGCACAGTATACAACATCAACAAAAGACATCATCAACAAATCAGAAGTTTCGCGGTGGCCGTCGGGACTGAAGATCGCGTGCCCCAGATCGTGACGGTACCGGAGGCGGAGGCGACCCAGTCGCCGTTGAGGGAGAAACGCGCGATGGTGCCGGGCCGGAGGCGACCCACTCGCCGTTGGGGGAGAAACGCCGATGGTGGCCGAGGCGGAGGAGACGAACTCGCGCGAGGTTGAACGCTGATTTAGGGCTTCGCGATTTGGGCTTCGCGATCTGGAGCACTGTCGGAGGCAGAGGCAGAGGCAGAGGCAGCAGTGACGGTGGCGCGGTGGAGGAACCCTATTTCCGGCAGAGGCAGAGGCAGAGGTCGCGATCTGGAGGAACCCGCGACGCAAAGGTCGCGATCTGGAGCACTGTCGGAGGCAGACGCAGCAGTGACGGTGGCGCGGTGGAGGAACCCTATTTCTGGCAGAGGTCGCGATCTGGAGGAACCCGCGACGCAGAGGTCGCGATCTGGAGCGGTGGATGAAACCCGCGACGCAGAGGCAGCCGTGGAAGAGGTGGAGGAACCCGCGACGCAGAGGAAGAATGGAGAGCAGGAGGAAGGAGAAGCTGAGGAAGGAGAAGCCGTGGAAGTGTTGATTTGACACAAAGACGCTAAGTGCAGAGTGGCAGAGAAAATAAGCTAATGATTAGGCACCGGTTAAATGGCCAACCCGAGGTATAAAGCGCTGGAAACCATTTACGATTTCGGTTCCTAATGAACCGATGCCTTTAAGTCTGACGTAGCAGTGATATAGGCCTCGGGTCTCAGATTAACCGGTGCAATATCGTTATTCTATCGCGGGTCTCAACTTAACCGAGGCATATATGTTAGCTTTATTTACGATTCTGCCACCGCGCTTTTATATGCTTCGGGTTTACTTAAACCGAAGCGTATATAGCGATTTTAAATCCTCTTTTTTTACTACTGCCACTCTAACTACATTCCACCTTCCGATGATCCCACACACAATGACTTTTCCCGTGCTGCCGCTTCCCGTCCTGGACCCTAGTAACGCGGCGCCAGCGCCGGCCGTGTTGCCTCCGCTTGTCGTGGATTCTCTCGGCCTCGTGGGTCCCTTTCCCAACCACCGTCCCCTTCCGAGATCAAGCCCAAATGGCCATATCTCTTTGGGTTTTTTTCTTTTCCAAAAATCATATTCATGGTTTCTGCCTCCTCGATGTCGCGCTTCGCAGCTTCGTCGTCAGTTTCATCGTCACATGACAACGCCTGAAGTGGTTGTGGTGGTGGAGCTAGCGGCTTGAGGGAGCAGGTGGGGAGTGCGAATCGGTTGCGGGCGATCCTGGATCCAAGGTAGTGGGGGCGGGAGTCGGGGTTAGAGTCAGGTTCGGAGGGGTAGGAGGAGGGACGGCGGCAGCGGTGGTGATGCGTTGCGTTGGTGTGGTGGTTCTTGCCGCTGGCTCCCTATTTCAAGAAGGGAAGGGCGAAGTTGTGTAGAGGTTGGGACTTCACCGGAGGCTGCGCCGGTGCGATGGACATTCGGAAACGCAGAAAGCTGTGGAAGCTGGAGGACGATTGTGTGTTTGGAAACGGTGTTGTTGGGAATGAGAGTTTGATGTAGGGTTCAGTTCAGTACAATGTTTCATCTTCATGCGTACTACATCGGAACCGAGTCCTAAAGTCTGAAAAATAAAAAAAAAATAAAAACATGCTACTACCTCGGTTATCTAAGAACTGAGGCATAATCCTATCTCATTTTACCTCGGTTCGTGACCGAGACATAAAACCTACCCCTTTTTACCTCGTCCGTATATGCCTCGGTTGCAGAACCGATGCCTATAAACAAAATTAATCGGTGCCTTTTCCCCTTACTACATCAATGACATAGATTTAATCATTGCACTAAGGCTAAGGATAACTCGATTAAGACCCCACAGGAGGAGAGTATTGCAGCCAGCAAAAAGCGTTATATGGTGAAAATGAAGCATACGATCGGGATGTTATCGTTCATCCCCACAACCATGGAGGCACACATCTCTGAGCAGTTTGTTCCACCCAATTTAAAGATGTATGATGGGGCAACTAATCCGAAGGAGTATCTCAAGATGTTTGTCAATTGGATGGCATTTTACACAACGAGTGATGCCATTTGGTGTAGGGCCTTCTCCCCCTTAAGTGGCTTAACTCTTTGCCACCTAACTCGGTGGAAACTTTCTCCTATATAAGGAACATGTTCGGGCAGCAGTTCGCAGGCAATAATTGGCAGGTATTTGAAAACAGAACTTGACCACCTTAGGTTTGATGAACCTTAAGTAGGAAAAGGAGGATCCCCTGAAGACCTTCATGGATTGGGTTTAGCACTCATATTGCTCCCCCTATCAACAATCTCCCCCTTTTTTGATGATGCACAACAATGATGTATAAAACAACCATGATGTAGAATGAACAACCAGAATTTTTTTTCGAATAGTTATATTCATATATATAGTCACATATATTTCATCTATATCTCTTGTTAATTCAATCAGTATTAACAAACAATTTCAACTATCTCTACCCCTTTGGGCATTAGGAAAAAAGGTATAAGTACACAATGTATACTTGAAGTAAAGAGACAGTCAATCAATCATGCATAGATACATCAAAATTTATATGTATGCATTAATGAAAAAAAATGATCACCCACAGTTGCTTATCACACAAATCTCAGTCAAGATATATTGATGCATTGGTCAATCAAATTCACTATGGTGCTCATATCATCACAACATAAAACAGATGCACTCTCATGAATGATCAACAACCAAGCAAGAATGTTATCTTATAATGCATGGAACTAATCCTCTCCAAAGACAATGTTTCACTCAAAAAGTGTTTCACTCAAGCCCTCAAAAGTGTATAGTGAGGTTACACTCTTGCACTCTACTATCACCATGCCACATGAATCAACTTTGCCTTTCATTTAACCACAATCAAATACACTCACAAGCAAGTTATCATCACAAGGACTTTTCAAGGCTTGTAATGTGGTTGGGCTAAGAAAAAAAATTGGTTTTTCTGGACAAAGTCCATTGAGTTAAGAGAGTGCATAATTCATTCATTCACATTAACAATTCATCTTTCTTTTACTTTTTATGTGAGAAACCAAATTTTCACTTATTGCCAACTTCACTTTCATTGAGCTCATTCTTTCTTTTTTTTTCTTCTCTTTTGCTCTTTCTTTTGCTCAATGCTCTTTAAATAATTTCACAAAGTTCTTTTCGATTTCTCACCAACCCAAACTTGAACCATTCTCCATTACCACAAAAACATATTCTACTTAACTCAAGGTAAGGATTTAAAAAAGGGTTTTTCAACTTCCAAATTTAAGCTCAAGGTGCAAAGGATAGAGAAAAACATTGATCTTTATTAGGTTCACATATAGACATTGGCTCTAAGGGAGAAGAAAAGCATGGCCTTGATCATTTGTAACAAGCAAGCAAGTGGTTTAATCATAGAAACTTAGGCAAAATCAATCATGCTTCAAAAGCAATAACATTCATTCAATCAAAAACTCTTAGCCCAACCTCTCACAGGTTAACTCAAGTTCCACAATTTGATAAACATACTACCCAACACATTAATCACAATTAACATCATGCATCAGTTTCTAACAATCATGAGCAACCACTTGCATATAAGACTTGACCATGCATCATCTCAACATCAATCACACAATAAAGCAGCACAAGATATCAATTACTCATTGATAACGGTTGAATTTACCGTTATTTGATACTTAATTTTGATACTAAAAACACCCTTTTTGACTTAGAAACTAGCTTGGAATTATAGTTTTGATGAATAAGAGAGTTGAAGGTGAATTTAATGGCTTTGTGCTATATTTCAGTGTTTTTCAACAGGAATTGAGATGATTTGGAAGAAGAGTTGAAGTAGTAAGGAGTTGGAACTTAGGAAGAACTGGAAAAGCATCAAGAAAGGAGGATCCCAGCAACGCTGAGCCCCACTTTAGGGGCCCTCAACGCCAAAGTACACTGTCTCACGCTTGGTTGCCCTTTTCTGGAGCCCTCAGCGCAGGATACCCCTGGCTCGCGCCCGGGCGCTCTTTGTAGGGGCGTTGAGTGCAACTTCCTCGGGTCGCACCATGCTTACTTGCCCTCTCAGCTGACCCTGAGTGCAATAAGTGGGGCGCTGAGCACTAGTCTCGTGGGCTTGGACCCGTTTTCTGTTATTTTTATGTTCTATTTAAGGACTTGGACATCCTAGGGTTCACATCTTTGGACTGAATAGGCTAAGGAACACACTCTTTGCTCCCTAAGAGGCGGATTTGGATGCGGAAGCTCCTATCCTCAATTTATAGGGTTTTATCTTTCATTCTTTTTCCATTGTTCATCTAATTTTACCATGTCAATGGTGAAAAAACTCTATTTGTTGTTGGGGATGATGTAACCTTTGTAAACTCTCATGTATTGAATTGATTCTTGATTATATATGCTTCTTTCATTAATTGTTAGGATAATTCTTCTTTACGTAATTCTTGCTTCGTTTAACTCATTCTTTAGCATGATGTATGATTTGGATGAGTACCAAAAGGTATCTGATTGTCTTAAGCTTCTGCTCTTCAGAATTAATTATTAGGAATGCTAGAAATCGTATGAACTAATAGTTAATGATAGGCTTTCTTCGCAGAGGAATTAGGTTTTAAGTATTTAGAGAGTGACATTGACATTAATGAAGTAGAATTCGTATATACATGAGAGTAAACTAGGTGAAATCTAACCCCAACAACATATTCATTCCATAATATCAAACTCGTTCATATTTGCACTTTTGTCCAATTGATCAAATTGCATACATACACTAGTGCAAAAACAACGTATTACGTCGGTTATTTTTTGCTTTTAACGACGAATTAGAGACCGACATCATAGCGGGTAACGTAACTTTTACGTCGAATATCACGAGGTGAAGTTAATAGGACAATTTCATGTCGATTATATCGAGATCTGATGTAAACCTAACGTTGACATTGTTCAACGACGTGAGGTTACGTCAGTTAGTAAAGAGATCGACGTTCAATATTTGAATAAATATTTATATTTATAGTAAGCACTAGTGCAAAAAGGGCTTTAGACGTCCGATTTTTTGGCCTTTTGACGTCCGACGTACACCCGACGCTTATGTGGGTGACGTTACTCAGACGTCCGCTGTGTCAGGACGGACATCTATATAGACGTTCGTTATGCAAGATTGGACGTCTATGTAGACGTCCGCTGTGTTAGGACGGACGTCTATATAGACGTCCGCCTCCTCCCTCCCCGGACGTCTACCTGGTTGAATTGTTTTTGGTAGGGGCTGGGGG